CACTCCCTACTGGGGTTGTGCCCACAACCAAGGTACATGCCCTTGACCGGAATCGAACCTGGGACCCTTGAGTCCGCAGGCTGACGCTCTATCCACTGAGCCAAACCGGTTAGGGCTGGAGTCTCTCTTTAAAAAAAATAATTTTTATTGATTTCAGAGAGGAAGGGAGAGGGAGAGAGAGCTAAAACATCAATGATGAGAGAGAATCATTGATCAGCTGCCTCCTGCATGTCCAACACTGGGAATCGAGCCAGCAACCCGGGCATGTACCCTGACCGGAATTGAACTGTGACCTCCTGGTTGTATACAACTGGCACATTCCTCTAAATAGCCCCTTTTGAGTCACCTCTCAGCTCAAAACCCTTCATTCGCCTCCCCTAAAAAACAAGATAGAAGAAAAACTTCTTGTCATGATATAAGGGCCCTTCACAATCGGGCCCAACCTCTGTTCCCGGCTTCTCTCCCACATTTTTTCCCTCACGAGTCACTGGAGCTTTGGTCTTCCTACCCTTATTCCTACCAAGTCCCAGCTCCTCCCTCCTCGTTGCTCACCAGGATTTGCTGGAGGCCTGTCTAATCTCTAACAGCTTCTGTGACCACTTCGGCCTCAGGGCTCTCATGCCCTGCCCATGGCACCTAATCCTGCTCATCGCTGTGTTGAGGTGTGACAGGACTGTTGTGTGTGCGCACTGTCTTTCCAAATAGACTGCACACCCCTCGAGAGCCGGGAGAGTGGAATAAACAGGCAGGCCCAGGCCTAGGAGCTGTGAGACAGCAGGCAAAGAGGAAAGAAAATATGCTTTGGACTCAGGCAGGCCTGAAGTTCAAATTTTGACCCTTCCATTTATGAGCTGGTGTCTTTAGGGAAGTTACTCAACCTTTGTGAGCCTGTTGTGCATCTGTAAAAGCAGACAAATAAGAACAACTACCTGGAAGGGTTGTAAGGACCAGACTAGTACACATAAAGGAACTGGCACCTGTGAGTACCTTTTAGAAGCTGTTTGCAAAAGGGGCAGCAAGGGGCAGGCTCTGGAGTCTGAAACCCTGAGTTCAAACCCTGGTTTGCTAACCACTTGCTACGTAAGGAATTCCCTTCACCTCTCTGAGACTCAGAGTCCTCATCCACATAATAGAGATAAGAGAGTCTCAATCTCAAAGGGTTGTGGTGAGGGCTGAATGAGATGCCACTAGGACAGCTGAGCACAGCACTAGATTCATGGGAGCCTTGGTCCTGACAAACAGTTCATGCTGTGGCTGTGCTCAGATGTGTGGGTATGAATCTTGACCCAACCACTTACTAGCTGTGTGATGTGGGTCAAGTTGCTTAACTTCTCTGTGCCTGCATATGAAAATGGGACATAATGAACTCCACCTGTTCTTTAGTGTTGTCAGGAGTATTAGGTGAGAATTCATTAAGTGGGTTTAGTCAAGTGTCTAGCACCTGGCAAGAGCTTAAGAAATATTAGCAACCCTGGTCAGAGGGTCATCCTGATACGCCAAGGTTGTGAGTTCGATCCTTGATTAGGGCACATACAAGAATCAACACATGAATGAATAAATAAGTAGAACAACAAATCAATGTTTCTCTTCTCTCTTTCTTCCTCTCTCTCTAATATCAATTTTTTTTAAAAAAAAAAAGAGCCATGGCAGATGTGGCTCAGTTGGGCAATGTCCCATGCACCAAAAGGTTGCTGGTTTGATTCCCAGTCAGGGCACATGCCCAGGGCATGTAGGAGGCAGCTGACAGATGTATCGCTCTCACATCAATGTTTCTCTCTCTCTCTCCCTTCCTCTCTAAAAAAATAAAAAATAGCCCTGCCGGCATGGCTCACTGGTTGAGTGTGGGCCTGTGAACTAGGAGGTCACTGTTCAATTCCCGGTCAGGGCATATGCTGGGGTTGTAGGCTTGATCCCCAGTAGGGGGCGTGCAGGAGGCAGCTGATCAGTGATTCTCATCATTGATGTTTATTTTTTATTTATTTATTTTTTTAATATATTTTATTGATTTTTCACAGAGAGGAAGGGAGAGGGATAGAGAGTTAGAAACATCGATGAGAGAGGAACATTGATCAGCTGCCTCCTGCACACCTCCCACTGGGGATGTGCCCACAACCAAGATACATGCCCTTGGCCAGAATCGAACCTGGGACCCTTCAGTCAGCAGGCTGACGCTCTATCCACTGAGCCAAACCGGTTAGGGCATCATCATTGATGTTTATATCTCTCTCCTTCTCCCTTCCTTTCTGAAATCAATAAAAATATATATTTAAAAAATATATAAATCTTTAAAAAATATTATATAAAAAGCACAAAAAGAAAACCAAACAAAAATACAAAAGAGAATAAGTTTAAAAAAGAAATATTAGCATTATTGCTTTTTCTATGTGACACTATTTTCCAAACAACTGATTTACAAAAAAACTTCAGAACACAGCCCATCATGAGTGAAGGACGGCCACAGACCCTCTTCAGGACTAAAAAGTACAGGTGTCCTTGCAGGGTTCCCACAGCCCTCCCCAGAGCAGGGAAGAGCCCAAGCCTCTCCTCCAAGGCAGGGAGGGAACTCCTACCAGTATATTCTGGCCTCAGGGCCAGGATTCCTCCTCTCTAGAACTCAGAGAAAGTAAAGCTCTGCACACCCAACTTCTTTAGGCTGCCAAGAGCCAGAGGCAAAGGAGAGACGTGTCACGCTGGAGCAAGGAGGCCACCCAGATGCTGAATGAAAGTCACCAACTGCAGGACCCTAAGTAAGTTGGATCAAAGGAGGCTCTGTGGGGATGCTCCTACAGAGGCTGAACCCCATGTGGGGATGACGGGGTGGGGAGGAGGCAAGCAGTGGTTCCACTACTTTTTCTCAGGCCTAACAGTCCTGGCCAGTCACCACCCTGGATTTGGCCTCAGAATTCTCCTCAACCCACTCCTCCCAGCAGCCACTACCAATGGTAGCTTGTTAGTGCCCGGAGCACGTCCATTTGCCATTCTTACTACAAGGCTCAAGTCTCTTAAGTTTCAATAGAGGAAAACAATTTTCAAAGTGTACTGACATTCCCTGTCTCACCTGATGCACAAAAAATGCTCTGGGCTGGGTAAGGGGATATGTGCCCACATTTTATAGATGGGAAAACTGACTTCACTCCAACAGTATAAGATGAGGCTGAAATAAGAATATGTCTTCCGAGGCATTCATTTATTCGTTCTTACAAACATTAACATCTACTATGCCAAGCTACTGCACAAGGCCTGAGGTGACAGGTGAGGGGAGAAGGAGCAAGTACATAGAGATGAGCCAAATATGTTTTCTTTGGTCACCAGTTCAGAAAATATTTATAGAAGAAATGAAGACAGCCTGGCCGGTGCGGCTCAGTAGTTGAGCATCGACCTATGAACCAGGAGGTCACGGTTCGATTCCTAGTCAGGGCACATGCCCGGATTGCGGGCTTGATCCTCTGTGTGGGCAAGCGGGAGGCAGCCGATCAATGATTCTCTCTCATCATTGATGTTTCTATCTCTCTCTCCCTCTCCCTTCCTCTCTGAAAGAAATAAAAAAATATTTTTTTTAAAAAGCAATGAAGGGACTGATAAAAGAGATGCTATCCCTACCTAAAGGGAATCTAAGATCACTCCAGGGCTCTTTTTACTTTAGGTTCTTCTCCAAGAAGTCAAAAGGCACCCTCCTGAAGTGAGGCCTTCCTGCTGCCTTCCTAGTGGGACACCAAGCCCCTGGGGAAGTGGCAATGGGGGGAAGACTCCTTCCCACTGAATGGCCATGAGAAACCAATGGGTCTCCAGACATCTTTCTCCTGACCAAGGGAAAGGGCCTGCTACACCCCAACCACAACCCACAGAGAAGAGCAGGCAGGTGTCCTGCAGTTAGAACCTAAATGGTTGGGCCTGTGAATGAAGCCCAGTGGCTGGCCTGGAAGCCCCCTGGGGCTGGTCATGACCTTCTCAGAAGGCTTTAGTGAGGGAAAGCGGGGATTTCTACCCGCTCTGCAGGGCCCTGTTGACCTTCTGTTGTTCCCACCTATGGAGGAAACAGCTGTAAGGTTGTGGTCTCCCCAACTTCTGGTTCAGCTCAAGGTCAGTCACAGTGCCCAGGCTGACCCACCTGACCATTTCTGTTCATTCCAGAGGTTTCTGGAGCCCCTACCACATACAGGCTTAATGGTAACCTGGGAATGCAGGAAGAGCTCAACCTGAGGGCAGCATGAGCCTAAGTGGATAATTACAGAGTCAGTGTAAGAGGCTCTGTGAGTCAAGCGTGGTGACTCTGGGGCCAGCCTGATCTCATTTTGAAACCTACCCTGGCCACTTGTTAGCTTGTGACTTTGAGGAAGTTGCTCAACCTCTTTGAGCCTCAGTTTCCTCACTGGGTATTAACCTTGTAAGATGATGATGCAAATTAGAGATGACATATGGAAAGTCTAACCCATAGCTAATCAATTCATGGTATTACTGATGTCTAGATTCAATACTGTGAGAATACAGAGGGGAATATGTGGTGTGGGGCAGGAAGCAGCATTCAAGAAAGCAACAAAAGATGAAGCATGAAGTGGCAATTAAGTTGGATTCCTCGGGCATGCCAGGGAAGGAGGGCATGGCAGTGAACAAAGGCTCTGAGGCATTAATTGCACCTCGTGGCTGGGGGCACCGGAGAGTGGCAGGAGATGGGAGGAAGAGGGGGCTGGAGCTTGCCTTGATCCTGCAGGCAAGTGCGCCTCTGCAGATAGGCGAGTTTTCAGGAAAGTGGAAGATAGTTTGTTTACTGGCCATGACACTAAGCAACCTTGAATCATGTGATGAGAAAGTTAATTCCCTTTTTATTTATTTATTTTAATTTTTTAAACCTGGGCATGTGCCCTGACCGAGAATTGAACCGTGACCTCTTGGTTTGTAAGTTGATGTTCAACCACCGAGCAACCTTGGCCGGGCTACTCCCTTTTCTTTTCTTTTTTTAAAAAAAAAACAAATCAATTTTTTTTCTTTACTTTTCAATAAGTTTAAATTCTTGAGGGGTGCAGTATTACATGGATACTGTGTCCAATGGCCTTAGTGGGAAGGTTGCTTTGGAATTTAGCACGAACCATGCCACTGTTTCCATAAGCACAAGTTTCCTTTCCCCAGATTACTCTGGTTTTGCTCCTTTTGCCACCAGGAGTCACTGTCTTGTTCTTTGCTTTGTACACATAAGCACATCTCTTGCCTAGATAGACTTCAGTTTCATGTTGACCATAAGCACCTTTAAATTTTTTAAAATATATTTTTATTGATTTCAGAGAGGAAGGGAGAGGGAGAGAGAGATAGAAACATCAATGATGACAGATAATCATTGTTTGGCTGCCTCCTGCAATGTCCCCTACTAGGAACCGAGCCCACAACCTGGGCATGTGCCCTTGACTGGAATGGGACCTGGGACCCTTCAGTCTGCAGGCCAATGCTCTATCGGCTGAACCAAACCGGCTAGGGCAGCACCTTTAATTTTAAGAAGAGCTGTGTGCTCCCTCTGGTCCTGGAGACCCTGCTTAGAGCCAACAAAAGTGGCCTTGGACCACAGCCTTCCAGACATATGTGTTGTTACAGAAGCCCTGCTCCCATCAGGCCTCCACAGGCTCCGAGATGTCGCAAAGAAGAAGGCAATGTTATTCCCTTTTCAGTTCTCCTTCAAGCTTTTCATCTCATCAAGGCAAAGTCTCCACTTTTAATACCTAACACCTATGATCCTCATAGGCCTCAAAGCGACTGCTCTCAGCAGGCACTGCAACCACCAAAAATTCCGTTACATTATGTTTTGGTTTTATGATTATCTTCTATGCAGAACAACTGGCTTTCTGCTTACAGAGGTGATATAAAGTTTCCTTGTAAACTACATTTAAAAGCAAGCCATTTGAAGGAAAACACTAAGAAATGAAGGTACAAGGCACGATGCAGAAAACGCAAAAGTCACAAAGGTTGTACTCCAGTGACTGAACTTCAGGAAATGCTGCTGAGGGCGCTAGGAAGTCACCCAAATTCTGAGCCTGGGAGGGCCAGGGCCACATGTGAGTCTTGGAGAGACAACCATGACCGAAGGGAGAGGCCAGGTGTCCAGGCCTGGTCAGCAGAGCCAATCGGGATGGAGTCGGTCCTGGGACTGTGGAAGGACTTGAGAGGAGACATCCTGGGGACAGCATGGGGTTGGTGACCTGCTATGTGCTGGCAGAGGAAGAGGCCTTCATGTCTGTCCTGTGAGTTGTGATTCTAGATGAGTGTCTGTCCATGGAATTTAGATGTTTCTATCGTCTCCCATCACAGCAGGAGGTTATGGGCCAATGTTGCAACCTCCTACCCCTTTCCCAACTGCCCAATCACCTGAGCTCTGGGTGGCCCTGCAGGGTGATCCCACTGCATGGCCTGCCAGCTGACAAGTCAGAATCTCAGACCAGGGTGACCAAGGGCCCGGTGTGCCTGCAAGCTGAGGGGTTTCCCAAGACAGGAGACTTTCAGTGCTAAACGAGGGACAGGGACAGTCCTGGGAAAACTGGGAGGCCCTGGTCATCCAACCTCAGACAGTGCTTGTGGGGTGGGAGCCCTGGGCCAGATCCTGTTGGGCTGGGGCTGCTGGTCTACGGGCCAAAGTAAGACGCCCACAGCCTGCATGGACCCAGGCCTAGTAATCAGTTCACGTTTATATGAAAAGCACCACCACCCCAGAGCCAGCCCCCAACCTTTTCAAAAACGCTCAGTGAGCCCTCGCTGGTGTGGCTCAGTGGATAGAGTGTCGGCCTCCTGACTGAAGGGTCCCAAGTTCCATTCTGGCCAAGGGCACATGCTCGGGTTGTGGGCTCGGTCCCCAGTAAGGGGCTTGCAGGCGGAGAAATCAATGATTCTCCCTCATCATTGATATTTCTCTCTCTCTCCCTTCCTCTCTGAAATAGAAAACAAACAAACAAAAAAACACAAAATGCTCAGTGACCTTAGTCCTTTTCAAGAAAATGTTTCAACCTGATTGGAAGCCTCCTGTTCAAGTTTGAGAATTCAGAGCCTTCAAAGATGCCATTTTCTAGGCTTGGCAACTGTTCTCAAAGGAAAGTCTCAAACCCTGACATGTGGGCCCCACTAGACTGCCGCCACCCCATCCTTCAATGAGAATTTCCCAAATTTTCTGAAGTACTCCCTGTGTTCCAGTCAACATGGCCTGATCAGAGTCCTCCTCCCACTCTGTCCTCTCCCCCTTCTGTTCCAGCCTGGAGGGCTCCCCTCACACATCTTCCTGTGCTTGAACTTGACCCAAACTTCAGTTTGGCTCAATGCACCCCTCCATGAGGCCTCCCCATATCCTCTGGACAGAAGGTACTCCTGGTTTCCCTGATCCTCTTCCAAAGCCTGATCTCACCAGTGGCAGGCAGTCAGGCCTACCTTTGCCCACCGCCCCCCACCCCTGCCCCAAAACACACACAGTTAGTAGTCAGCATATAGAACAGTGATGGCGAACCTATGACACGCGTGTCAGAGGTGACACACGAACTCATTTTTTGGTTGATTTTTCTTTGTTAAATGGCATTTAAATATATAAAATAAATATCAAAAATATATACCTTTGTTTTACTCTGGTTGCAGATATCAAAAAATTTCTATATGTGACACGGCACCAGAGTTAAGTTAGGGTTTTCAAAATGCTGACACGCCGAGCTCAAAAGGTTCGCCATCACTGATATAGAATCAACACATAAATGGTCAAACCCGTAATGCCTAATTGGGAGAAGTTCCACTGTCTCTCCACCGTCACATGGGGACAGCAAGGAGGCTCATACATTGAGCCCAAGTCACTCAGCTGTCCAGGTGGCTGACAGGTGAAGAAGAGACTCTGGGAAAGGCTATTGGGCCTGACAATTCCATAATGATCATCAAGCAGCACAGGGCCAAGACGGCAGGAAAAGGTGTTTTGGGAATGTGTCATGGAGGTGTGGCCCAACTGGGGTCACAAAGGCTTCCCAGAGTACAGGACACTTGAGCTGAGACATTAGGATAAGGGGTTTGGGAGTCAAGGCACACACTCAATCTCTGCATGGGCACGGCCGGCTGCTGTGAGGATTTGTGGGGATAATGGACAGGAAGCCCTCAGCACACAGTCAAGCTCTCCCCAAACATGGGGGATTACTGTCGTCAGCATTACCCTGACAGCTCACAGGAAGCAGAGGACTCCAGGCAGCCAGGCCTCTGAGCTCAGGTTGCGCTGGATAATAATCCTGCCTCCTGATTAGCCCGACCAGGAGGGAGGAGAAATGGGGCTGCAGCTGAGCCTCCCCGCTGCCGGGTGGACTGGCCCAGGTCAGACCTTGAGGTTCTGACAGAGCAGAAACCGGGCCGAGTGGCTCAGACGTGTAAGAGGGAAGGAAGCTGGATGCAGGCAGAGGAAGACAGCAACCAAGGGCGTGACTGAGGACGGGCCTGGGCGGAGGAAGAGACAGGAGCAGACAGAGAGCGAGAGAACATCCTCTCCCCTCCCGAGCTGCTGCAGAAAATTAGTGGAATGACTTCCTGTGATGGGTGCAGCAGCCTCTGCATTTATAGGCCACGAGGTCTTTTCAGGGCCAACTGGGTGATTAAAAGCTTGTCTGAAAGCCACCCTGTTAGGGGAAGGAGCCAACCAGGAACCGGAAACCTGTGAGGTGTACAAATACTGACGTCTCTTCTCAGCAGGAAGGAACTGGGGTGGAGCAAGCTGAGATTAAGGCCCTGCCCCCCTCCCTGCACCCCCTGCTGCCCAGCCACCAGGGGGACCCACACTGGGAGGAGTCAAGGGCCATGTGAGGTGCCTGGGAGCACAGGTCCTTCTGCCATACTGGCCTTCCTGCTATTCCTCAAACACACCAATTTATCTGCAACTCCAGGGTTTTGTTTTTATTGTTTCCAAACCACATACTACTGGCTCCATTGCACCATTCAGGGCTCATCTCAAGTGCCACCTCCTCCTAGAGGGCTCCCCTGACCACCTAATCTAAATTAGCCCACTCCCCAACCTACTGTGCTCTCCCCTCAGATCCTCACAACTCAAACCCTCATCTCTGCAGGTTTTTGTTTCTTTTTGTGAATCAGATGTCATCTCATTCACAAAGCCTTCCCCGACCACCCTGTTTAAAATCAAACACTCTCCCCCAGCTCTCATCCCACCTCCCTGGTTTCCTCTTCTCTGCCACATCCTAGATCTTTCTTTCATTGCTGTTTAATTCTTTCCGCTGGAATGTCAGCTCCAAGAGGCAGAGATTATTGTCAGATTTGTTTACTGCTGTATTACCAGCATCTAGAAAAGTACCAGGCACATAGTAGGGACTCAATAAATGTTTGATTAGTAAATAGGTAAGTGTATTTAAATGTTTAAGAGCAGGGGCTCTGGCCAGACTGCCTGGGGTCTCATCTCAGCTCTCCCACTTACTGTGTGATCTTGGACCATTTACTTAACCTCTTTGAGACTCCATTTAATTAGTAAAAGGAGAGTAACAACAGTACTTACCTCAGAGGATTATTGGGTGATTAAATAAGATCATGCATATAAAGAGGTGGAAGCAGTGCCTGGCACCCAGGAAGCTCTCGGTACTATGCTGGCTGCCATGACAGCTTTCACTTGCTAGCACTTCTTGATTATTGCTCCCTTATTTATCATCTGTCTCTTCCATTCTAGTGTCAGCTCCCACCTGCCTTCCTCACTATTGACCCCCAGTTCCCAGCATAGTGTAGGGAGAGAAAACCAAGCCTCCTATCAAATCGGGGAATGTGGACCTGGGGGACACAGCTTCAACTGAAGTAGGAGCCTCACCGATCTGTTTCTCCAGGGCGGCTGCTTCACAGACGGTGGCCCGGGGCAGGATCCCAGGGTCAGTGAAACTCGTCTGTAGCAGGCAGCTCATGACGAAGAAGAAGAGGATAGCAGCGATGATGGGGATGGCAAGGGTCAGTTGGCGGGCCAAGAAGGGACAGCTAGAAAGAGAGGGAGAAAAAGATATGTAGTTACCCCACAGGCCCCCTGGGCACAGGGCTACAATGCTAGGTAGGTACTGCCATCCCAGCAAACACCCCCGCATTCTCAAATAGAGCCTCTCCCAGAGGCAGCAGCCACTTCCCCATGAGTGCCTGACATCACTAATTAATCCCACACTTTCGCCCTGAGCCATGGCAGATGCGATCAGTAGATCCCAGCATTGTACACTTAGCTGCAGCCTCAGAATCCTTCTAAACCCAGAGCTTCAGACAGCTACTACCAATTAATTGGAATGTCACTTGAGATGAACCATCCATGACCATGTTCACTCATTCATCCAGTCAGTCAGTCACTCACTCCACAAATATTTACGGAGGCCTTCTACGTGCCAGGCAACACCTTCAATAAGAAGCAGGGCCCTGGCCGGTTTGGCTCAGTGGATGGAGTGTCGGCCTGCGGACTCGGGGGTCCCGGGTTCGATTCTGGTCGGGGGCGTGTGCCTTGGTTGCGGGCACATCCCCAGTGGGGAGTGTGCAGGAGGCAGCTGATCGATGTTTCTCTCTCGTTGGTGTTTCTGGCTCTCTGTCCCTCTCCCTTCCTCTCTGTGGAGGATCAATAAAATATATTAAAAAAAAAAAAGAAGCAGGAATACTTGGCAGTGAATAAGACAAGAGTCCCCTGTTCCCTCAATGAGGCTTATGGTCTAGTGAGGAGAACAGACATGGAAACAGAGAATTGCCACATGGCCCCGCATACTATAATGGGGAAGGGAAAGGCAGTGGAACAGTCAGGAAAACAGACTGGCTGACGGAGATGCCTAAGCTAAAACCTGAAGAATGAGGAGGATTAGCCCTGGTGGTGTGGCTCAAAACCGAGCCTCGTCCTATGCACTGCGAGGTCACTGGTTTGATTATGGGTCAGGGCATGTGCCCAGGTTTGCGGGCTCGACCCCCAGTAGGGGGCGTGCACTGCTGGGGGCAGCCAATCGATGTTTCTCTCTCTCCCTCTCCCTTCTCTCTCTCTTAAACCAATAAAAAGCATATTAAAAAGGAAAAACAGCCTGACTGGTGTGGCTCAGTGGTTGAACATAGGCCTATGAATGAGGAGGTCACGGTTTGATTCCCAGTCAGGGCACATGCATGGGTTGCAGGCTCGATCCCCAGTAGGGGGCATACAGGAAGCAGCCAATTAATGATTTTCTCATCAATGATGTTTCTCTCTTCTTTCTTCTCTGAAATGAATGAAAATATATTTAAAAAATAAAAACAAAGAATGAGTAGGATTAGCTAAGTGAAGGGGGTCGGGAGAAGAGCACAGTCCAGCCACTAATACTATTACCCAAAGACTGGTGTCCCAAGTCCGTTCTGTCAGGCCCCTGACCCCAGCTGGCTTGGAGGACACCCTGTGCACAGGTCTGATTTTACCACTGTCCTCTGTTGCCTTCCCTCCCTGAGCCATAGTGAGGAGCTGCTATTGGGAGATGTCTGGCCACTGGGAGGCCCAAATCAGCCAAGATTCCAGGAGCTGGCATAACAGCAGGAAGCAAACCTGTGGGCACCTACATGCTATTTCTGGAGCCTCCATCATTTGAGGTTCTGGCCTCCAGAGAGGCCCATCCCTTGAGGAGCAGAGACTGCCAAGGCCAAGGACTCTAGTGGGACACATTCTGCTCCAAACATCTCAGTGCTCCCCAGGTCCGAACCTCAGAGCTGAGCCCTCCATGTCACCCACATGACAACT